CCATATCATGGATAATTGCAACATGATCTTCACCTTTATCTCTTTTCATACTAACTTCAGAAAAATTGTCGGATTCTCGGGTACCACAATCTCCACACTTAAAATCGAATCTTCCTTAAAGCTATGGAATTCTTTCAAAATCCCATGCAATTCTTCGTTTTCATCACCGATTAATTTCTCATCTTCATCCCAAATTACAGCAACTGAATCCGATAACTCTTCTTTCGGCGAACTCACAACAAATTGGGACTCTTCGAAAAAATAATCGCCGTCATCTTTCTCTGCCTCTTGCGATAGGCTTGGCATTGGCGGCAGCGGTGGATCTTCGAAAAAATCATCGTCGTCCTCTTCCTCTCCCTCCGGCGATAGGCTCGGCATCGGTGGCGGTAGCGGGGATGGCGGTGTTGGCCGGCGGTGGCTGTCTCTTCGGCTCTTATGTTGTCGTCGTCCTTGACTTTGTTCGAGCAATTTTTGGATACCAATCCGTAACTTCTCCACGGATTTTTCCAATCGCTCCAACCGTCTTCTCTCGGACGTCATAATTTCACAAAGTGTTGATGTAATCTCAACTTTGCTCCAGCGTAGCTTTGATATAATCTCTGCCTTGCTAACGAAGCGTTGGTGTTAATCGCAACTTCGCTCTGATACCAATTGATGCGATCTCTCGAGTATCATAAATATTTCCTACGAAACGTAAGATCTATTCTTTAATATTTTTCTCTTCATAATAAAACCCTAGCACAAGACGACTATTTAAAGAGAATAAAACCCTAGAATCCTAATCTAACTAGGAAAGGTAATGACCTAACTAATAAAATACTTAATAATATCCTAACCACTACTAACTCACGGTAATATTTATTATAAATATACTAATCTAATTAATTAATAATAAACTATTAACTAAACTAATAATTAAACGATATATTAAATAATATATCGTATCAATCTGAACCATCAATTAGTTTAATGAATGAATGAATGAATTAAACAGTGTGATCAAGAATTCCTAACATTGCCAATAAAAATAGCAAATCATAATAATTAATATAATTGATAACCAAGAACATATTTAGAGTGGTCTCACAGTACCATCTGACTCTATTCCATTAGAGCCATAAATAAATTCTTCTCTATTTCCAAAAACTGAATGCACAATTATCAAGAATCATTTCACCATCCTTTGTATACAATCATATATACTTAATCAAACAAAAAGCAACTTAATGGTCCCACTTACTAGATTTATGAAATTTAATGTGGACCAACCAAGAAATTAGCCTCATCCAATTTTTTAAAATGGTGTAAATTACAAAAACACCCCTCCACTATGGTCAAATTATCAAAACACCCCTCAGATATTCATAATTATCAAATAGTGTTGCCGACTAACTCTTGGGGTACTAGAGTTCATAACATAAAAATGTGTAAGGTCTAAGACCCTTAAGTCAATAAAAATAAAATAATAATAATTTACCAAAAAACCCCTGAAGTATGGCTAAATTGCCAAAAAATCCGTCATGTATATGTAATTCCTAAAAACTCCATGCCCCTTACAAGGTTATTTTTTAAAAAAAAATAAGATTTTCTTTGAAGGTTTGAAGAATCAGACTACTCGCAGAATTCTATGGCAACAGGGGATAAATGGTGAATTTTCGGCAAACTCCGACGTATTATTATCTATACCATAAAAGTACCCAAAAACAAAAGCTAAATTTCATCGATTCCGATTACAATTTTTTTTGTGTGATAAATTTCATTCCAATTTTTTAAGTTCCGGTCTTTTTAAAATATTTTTGTATTGAGATTCGAGTTTATTATATACTTCCGTAAATATTGATATATTTTTTTCCACCCCTAATTTCAACCTAGTGATTTAAGATACAAGGGTAAATCATAGAAAAAAATGGCCGAGAAGATGTAGTGAATCAAAATAAAAAATTGCCATGTAGTATTTATAATTTTATATTACATCTGTAATACGTTCAAACACCCAAAAGTTGACAATTAACGTCCTTTTAAATGATAAACAATAATACATAATGGCTAGGATAAAACAATCCTATTATATTCCAACAAAATATATTTTAATTGCTCCCTTCATGAAATAATTATTATAATTACCCTCGATGGTAAAATTAGTTATTTTTTTAGGAATATTTCATGGAATAAAAAATTTCATGAACAGTCACATTTTAAAGGGGTTTTATCATTTATGTAAGACAAAAATAAATATCAATAGAATTTTGATAATTACGAATGGGTGTGAGTGTTTTTGATAATTTAGCCCCAGTTTAAGAGGCTTTTCGTAATTTACCCTTAAAAAAAAAAGGTAAGGACTATGTAGCACGGAAACTTCAGCTTCTTAATGCTTTCATATTTCGGACACGTTTCGTGTCCAACACTTGAAGACACCCACCAGACACCTTATGGGCCATTTTTTTGTAATTTCTGAAAAGTTAGAAACATTTGAATAGCATATTTCCAAAAGAAAAATTGTTGTCCCCTAGTTAATTACATAATTTAGTGATTAATTGCAAATTGATAGTTAATAACATTTTTGATGAATATAATTTTCTGGAATTATTAAAAAAAAATTATATATAAATAAACTTATATATGTTTATATGGAATATTTATAAATATACCCCTATACTTTTAATAATTATATGTCTACCCCAAGTTCCAGTATCCCCGTGTTAGTTTCTCAGTTTCCCCGTATTGTCATTTCTGTGTCCGTGCTACATAGAGTCAGGTCTATCACTTTTACACCTAACATTAATATGGGCCAAAAGCTAGAATCTCTAATAAGCAATCCTGATAGTTACACTTCATAAGCACCAAAAAGAAAAATAATAATAATAAATTATATATGAACCCCAATATATAATATAAGGACTAGCTTCCAAATGATCATGAAAGAATTCAGTACTATAGGCCACCACAACCCTAATAATAAACCTAATAATTCTCTCTCCAAAATGAATATTTCAAACATGGAAGTATTCAGCAACTTAGCTTCTTCTTCTTCAATGGTGGAGGGTTTTAACTCAACTTTTCATAATAATAATAATCAGGGATTATTTTCTGATCATCATCATCATCATAATCATTTGCCGCCTATGCCTTTCATAAGCGACGAAATCCCGAGATCAGCCGGTCCCGTTTTCGATCAGACGGCTCACTTCTTCGCGTCGGGAAATAACGGATGCATTAATAACATGAACGGCGAGCCCGAAATCGTGTTGAACTTATCTCCTTCGGTTTCCGGGACCGGTTTTCTTGGACATGGCAAGGTTAGCAAAAATCATCAAGAACCGGTATTATTTTTTTATTTTTTTTTATTTTTTATTTTTTTTTGTGTCAAATAATTAAATTAAAGGGCCCTTTAATTTATTTTTTATTTTTGTGATAGAGTTATGGAGGGAAGAAGAGAAAAAGAGTCAGTGAAAGAGAAATGGAGAAACCTAGGGAAGTTGTTCATGTTAGAGCAAAGAGAGGACAAGCTACTGATAGCCACAGTTTGGCTGAAAGGGTATTTAATTTAATTTTTTAATGTTACAATTTTTTTTTTATTACAAGTGAAAACAAATAATTTAATTATTTGGTAATTAAAAAAAAAATTGTTTTTGTTGTTAAAAATATTGTTTTATTTTAAACTAGTTGAGAAGAGAAAAAATAAATGACAAGCTGAGGTGCTTGCAAGATCTGGTTCCAGGATGTTATAAGGTAATGATTTTTAATTTCATACATATATATTTATTTATTTTTCTAATTTTATGCAATAAAATGAAATAATCGACACTTTTAATTTGCAGACGATGGGAATGGCTGTAATGTTGGATGTGATTATTAACTACGTACGGTCGTTGCAAAACCAAATCGATGTAAGCTAATTTTTTCTTCTAATTAATAAAATATGCTTCAAATTAGTATATATCGAATATTTCAACGCAAAGTACGTAGTCGTGGTTATTATTTTTTTTTAAATAAATAAATTTTCTTTGATGTTTCAGTTTCTATCAATGAAACTTTCAGCAGCAAGTTTATTCTATGATTTCAATTCATCAGATGCAGAAGCCATGGAAGCATTACAGGTGAACTTATAATTAACGCCCTCGTTTTTCTTTTTTCGTGTTTTAATTTTTATTTTGTTGTTATACATTTATTTGAATTAATGATCATCATATTTATCAATAATTCTATTTTTATGCACACACTTTTTCACTTATTAGTTTGAAAAATATTCAAATTAATCAATTTTAATTTGTTATTCCCATATTTTATTAAATTAATTAATAAATGCTAAAAATAATGTTGCATAAATGAATGTTTTAAAAACAGGGAACCAATGGGTATGAAGCAGTACAAATGGTGGAGAAACTTGTTGGAGAAGGCTATGGAGGAATTTCCCAGTTCCAAGCACCTTGGTCTCTTTAACTTTATATATATATATATATATATATATATATATATATATATATATATATATATATATATATATATATATATATATATGTGTAATTTTTAATTTTATAGTAAATATTTCTCAATAATATTATACAGACCATAGTGCACTTAAAATATATATATTTGCTCCCTTATGCACTAAACAAAATTAACACATTATATATGTTGTTTGAGAATTAATTTTAATTATGTATGATGATATATATATAATATATATATGCTTTTTATGTTCATGAAATATTTTAATGTAATAGTTATAAATTAGGCCAATAAGAATTAGTGTTTAATGCATTGAATCATGTCAAATGATGACGTGGCAAAGAATCTTAATAATTCATGAAATGGTCCAAATACTATGATAATAGACCTGATTAATACATCTTTTCTGATGGTTGTACGTAACATAGACATATAAATATATAATTGTGTGCATGCATCAATGTAATGTGACATATATCAATTAGTTTAAGATAATTTTCATATGAAGTGAGAATTAATAATTAAGGGCTATAGCCTATGAATTCATAGACAAAGACAAGCATTCCGAGATTAACCTTAAATAATTAAGGATATTTTTATGGATAAGCTCATTTTTTTAATTTTTTTCATTATAAATATTCTATGAACTCATTTAAGTGATTATTTTTCATTTTAAATATTAAAAAATATGTGCATGTAAAATGAGCACTCTTGGTTCTTTCTCATTCTAATTAAAATGGTTCTTGATGCCGACACATCAAATGGGGTATACTTTTTCATTAATTAATTAGAAGCCAATTTCTTTTAGGAATTTCTTTTTTGAATTGACCACTAGTCGACCAGTTAGTATCACCTTCAATCTCACCTCTCAGTATTTTTTTTTGATGCGCTAAGAACTTTCGGTGTACTTTTATCATAGCTCAACAAAATATTCAAATAACATTGTTGTTTTAAGAGTTTTCGTTCGATAAACGAGTTTTGTAGTAGAACTATGATCTTCAACTTCATCCTATATATCAGTTGCCATGATGTTCTCGATTATTGTTCGTCGGTCAATAACTTTAACATTACGTTATTTTCTTCACGATATTTCAAAAGATATTCAACATCCATTTTGTTACGATAATTCAGTTCATTGATTAGATTTTGCATTTTTCGGGTGATTTCACCAATGGTTCGTCCATAATTTAAAATAATAATAATAATAATAATAATAATAATAATAATAATAATAATAATAATAATAATAATAATAATAATAATAATAATAATAATAATAATAATAATAAGTGGGATTTTCATAACTCAAACATATAAGGATTGTTTGTAATTTATCCTATATATAAAAGAAAGAAACGTTGTGTAACCCTAAAAAACCCTAATTGTATTTCTTTAATTATTTATTTTTAATATTTTTTTCTACTAATTTTCAACAATTATCAATCTCTTATTTTTCATCAAATATCTGAGATAAAGATAGAAATTCGATTTGTTAAATCTAAATCTATAAAATCTTAATATGTAAAATTTAAACAAACTAATGTTATATAAAATATAAATAATACTACATTATTAAATTTTATTATGCCCGTGGGCCGTGTACTATATTTTCTTATTATGTATTAAATTTTTTTTTTACTCTTGATATAATATCTCCTGCATCGCACGGAGAAAAAATGCTAGTTATTTTTTATTTAGATGTAATTTATATAATTTATGATTTTTGTAAAGATTTAGAATACCTGTTAATTCCAATTTCTTAAACAAGATGATTACACCTTATCAAAATTCATTATCTTCCCAATAGTTTTTTTTCTTTCAAGAAGGCATGTACTCAATTAAAATTTGATTAATAGTAGCCCATTTTACAATGCTCAATTTTTAAAACAACTCAACAAATACATGAATAACAAACACATAAATAAATTTCATAACAATTGAATTGCAACTGACGGATAAATAGTTATCCGAAGAATCGATTATTATTTTCTCGTAAAAAAAATCCAAATTACAAAACCTTCCGGGGTAAACAAAAAACGATATCGGCAAACCCGGGGGAAAGGCCACACTGAAACTGAAGCGACGCCACTCTAGTCAAGTTGAGCTGAAACGGCACAAGGTTCGGAAATCCTTTGTAGCAGATGCATATATCTATAGCCGGAACCGAAAGCCACGATTGTGCTCCTTCGCAACATTTCGGGCTGGGCTTTTCTGAAAGCCCGGTTATAAAAGGACCACATTCAGTTATATTTCCTACAGGGACTTTATTGCAATCTACTTCACCACTAATTCCACCTGGAACCAAACACATAAGGATCATTAGTGCAGAAAATGAAGCAATCATAATTTTTGCCATTTTTTTTTGTTGTTACAATTTTTTAATATTTGAGGGCTCTATTTATATGTAAGTAATGTATATATTGTAGAAATAATAATATTGAATAATATTTTTCATATCTTTCATTAACCAGCACTAGTGCATATATATACATACATGCATATCAATAAGATCAAGCAAATATTCTTTAATAAATGTATACAAAATCAAATCAAATATTCTAATGATACTTGCAATTAAATCAGATATTGCATATAATTAAATCAAATATCTTTGAGATTATCTCTATATAGGCATCAAATGTTTAATTAGGTTTGCAGGATTTAGGTTATGAGTATCTTATGAAAATGAAGTCTTTGGATTTCCCTACTACGTAAAACAGTCAAACGAAATTTAATTATGAAAAAATCAGAGAGGATTACAAAAGTTTCAGATATTCATTACAAGAATAATACAGTAAATATCATATATCTCATCACAAATTAAAAGAAGCTATATGAAAATTTTCTAATTTAAAGTAATTCATTCTGGGATCAATTTAAATTCACTTGGATCCATAGTGGATAAATATTAATTTTATTGTATTTTTTATTTTATTTTATTTAAGAGTACTTGCAGCCACTCGAAATACACTGGATAGACTCCGCCCCGTGGTAAATCCATGTTGCTGATAAGGGTAATTATAAAAATATGTAACGTAACAAACATTTTTTTGATTTTTAGTAAATAGAAGTCTACATTTTCCGTTGTCCCATTTTTCAAATTAGACGATTTTTAACCTTTTTACTGTAATATGTACAATATTTAACAAATAATACTATATTGCATTACATTTAAACCTCTATAAATTAATACAATCGGGACTAGCAAATTCTATTAATTTAGAGAATTATTAAATTATCGAGTTAATAATTTAATATGTTCTTACTGAGTCGGAACCGAGAGAAATGCAAGGTTATTAATTTATCGAGGTTCTACTGTAGTTATTTTCCTCACACTATAAAGTTGAAGTTTGATAAATGAATACTCGATAAATTAATAATATCGATTAAATAATAATTTTTCCCGATTCCTACTCACAGTAACCGTATTAAGTTATTAATTAATTAATTTAAAATTTCGCTAAATTAATAGAATTTTACTAATTCCGCCTGTATTAATTTATAAAGATATAACTGTAATCAAAATGCTAAACTACTGAGGTGTCAAAAGATAGCGGCACCAGGGCACCACGTGGCATGCACCAAAGAGAACAGTAACATATAATAATATAATATTCATGCGTGTATGTACCGGAAGGAAGAATCTAAAGGCAGACCAAATAATTACAAGAGAATTAAGATGATGATGAAGGTGATGGTAGCCATTGATGAGAGTGATTGCAGTAACTATGCTCTGAAATGGACGGTTGATAATCTTCGTGATTCACTAATCCAATCCCACCTGATTATTTTCACTGTCCAGCCCCTCTCGGATTACGCCTATATCCATGCCTCTTCCTTTGGTCTAACTCGTAATTAAATTAATTCATTTTTATTGTTTTCCTCTTTTTTCCTTGTTCCACACACACACAATAAGTATATATTAATTTTGCAGCTCCAGAGTTTCTGAGTAGCATACACGAAAATCGTAAGAAAACAGCCCTAGCTTTGTTAGAGAGAGCCAAGGATATTTGCAGAGCAAATGGGGTAATTAAAGTGAAGTTATTTGCAGTCTATGTAGCATGCAAACTTCAACTTCTTAATTAATATATCAGCGTTTCCAAATATTTTTGTTACTTTCTTACTTTATTTACGATCAATTCCAAATTGATAGTTGATAATATAATATATATTTTTTTTAATATATTTTTGTGAAAATATATTAAAAGAATGTATTTGTAAATAAAAACTTAGGTATGTTTATATAACATAATTATAAATATATCCCTATACTTTTAATAATTACACGTTCCCCAAGTTCTTGTATCTCCGTTTTTGGGACATGGCGTTTTCCGTTTCGTTGTTTCCGTGTCCGTGGTGTATAGTTTACAGAATTATAAGGAGAATACTCTTTATGATTTTATTTTAATTTCTGCATACAGATAAACGCCGAGACAACAACTGAAGTTGGGGATCCTAAAGATGCCATATGCGAAGCTGTGGAGAAGCAAAATATTGATTTACTAGTGATTGGAAGCCACAATCAAGGGGCTCTCAAAAGGTTAGTTTAGTAATTAGAGTGTGAATTTTTATTATATAATAATCTCGAAAGTGAATGAGGTATGTTGTGAATTGAATTGAAATGTGTGAAACAGGGCAATTCTGGGGAGTGTGAGCAACTACTGCGTCCACAATGCCAAGTGCCAGGTTCTAATTGTCCCGAATATTGCCTAGGATCAACTCTTACTTAGTATGTGTATTAGAAAATGTATATGGACATAGATAAAGGCTTTGGTACATCACTTGTTCATATTTGTTTCCCTATAATCTAATAAATAGTTAAATACTAACCTCTCTCTCTGTATATGGTAATATATAAAAACAAATTAAAATGATAACATCAAAGTGGTCGTGCCGGAGTGGTTATCGGGCATGACTAGAAATCATGTGGGCTTTGCCCGCGCAGGTTCGAATCCTGCCGACCACGATTTTTTGCATTTAAGTAGTGCAGTTAAACCGCAAAATTCTATTAGTTTAGCAAAATATTAAATTATCGAGCTAATAAGAAATTAATATTTAAACGAGGCTATTAATTTAGTTTTTTTTTTTTTTAAACGAGGTCATTAATTTATCGAGGTTCTATTGTACGTGGTTTTGGTCATATTTTATCACATGTTGTTATACTAATGAAATTTATCCTCTATGCAATGATGTAAAGTAGAGTTCAATAGGACATATATATATTTCAATTGCATGATATTAATCTGTATGATGATAATCTTGTTTACAGATTCGATATCTGCAGTGTATTATATGAAGATACGGTTGAGAGTAGCCGCGAGACGGACCCCACCCTGAGCTAGCCGCATATTCACAACTGGATTACGTGACACAAAGTACTCGTCTGCAACATGTACGTAATGCCAATTGATAATATAACTCAATCAAATTTAAAAAAAAAAAAATCATTTCATATTGTTATACAACTAATAGGCGTCGATCAATAAAACATGCATGAATTTACCTTCAAGAACTGAACCTTCATCAACTCCTTTATATGCCCATTCACACGCCGCTTTAATTCCTTCAGACGCGTATCTGCACGTTACACATGTAATATACATGTAAATGCATTTTTTTCCGATCATCTTTTTTTCCTGGTATAATTTTTTTAAAGGTTTATTGCATTTAGCACGTTTTATAGCATGGGGAGTTTTTAAGCAATCCAATATAATTCAAGGGTAGTAAATGCAATAAATTCATTTTCTTTATTATATATATCAAAGCTTGCCCGGGATAAATAGTTATTATCTATTTCTATGTGCCGATAAAACTTACATATCCGGGCAAGCCGTATTGCTGCAGGCCGCCCATGCCTTCGCTTGATTAGCCCATACTGTCTGTCAAATCCCAAGAAAATTAGGATTATATAATTAGACTTATATATAATTAGCAATATATAACACGAAAACTGCAGTGGCGGAGCCAGAATTTTAAATTCAGGTGGCCGAATACATTAAAACATTAACGAGAGAAGCCATTAATGCTATTGTACACAAAATTTTGATATTTTTCTATGTAAATTAATAGAGATTTGAAAAATGTGGAGGGGCCATGGCCCCCCGTCCCTATACTGACTCCGCCATTGACTAAAAGGGCATGCAATAATAAGCAAATGGGATGTATCATGTATACATACCGTTATGTTTTTGTCGAGTGCGTTAATCAGTTCATCGACATTAGAATCGTAGAACCTTTCTTCAGCTGTCTCGATAATGTTATCATCCCACACCTATAACATAATATTATTATTAATTATTGATTATTAGAATAATTAATAATTAAATAGGTTATTAATTACCTTAATGTAATTAGGAATCAATTACTTACATGATGAAGAACTGATTTTCTAGTGTACCAATGAACATCAATAGTGTTTCCTCCCCTATCTGAAGTAAATCCCACATGTAGAGGCTTCACAGTAGAAAATCAAATACTATTTATTATCAGTACATAATTAATTACAATTTTATTTAGCAGAATATATATATTATTATATAATTAACCGAAAATAAAGAAATTAAAGAAAGATTATGGATTATTTACTTGGTGAATGTCTCCAATGAAATGAGAAAGGAAGAGAAGTGCTTCTGTCAGATTATCTGATAATAATTATCATTTAATAAATTAATTAATTAATAAATAAATTAATTAATTAAAGTTCCGATTTTCGAACAGAGTCTACATTGAGAAGCAGTAGTGCCATAAGTGAGAAGCTGGTTAGTGTAATTGTTGATAGCTCCAGCTACACATCTATCTTGTACCCCATCTTCATCTTTGCAATCCCCTTTTAATATTATAAAAAAAACATTTAATAATAATTAAAAACAAAAAGAAAATTGCATTTAATAATTTAATTCAAATTAATGAAAATTTAATTTAGGCTCATACTGTTATATTGATAGGTGCATAGATTATCGGGTGTGTCGATGTAATGAAGAGGCGAAGACCAGTGATAGCGGAACTTGACACGATCGGCCCACGAGCACAAGCTGGCAAGGTCGTCATCGGCATAAGCTGGTAATAGTTCGGAAACTGCATTTGCTGCCGATTTACTCAACCTAGTCTGCGATAAAATATATGACGAATTTAATTTACGGAAATGGGGACCGTAAGTTAAGGTAAGGTAAGGTAAAATAAATTGACCTGAGCAAGTCTGCAGGTAATGAGATGTCCGTCGATTCCCCAACCGTGAGCAGCGCAAAAACAGGACAAATAAAGAGTTACTAGAAAAGCTACAATGTGGATTCTGCAGACTTCCATTTTTGGTTCTGTGAACTTAGTTAGGCATATATATATATATATATATATATGAAGGGTGATGGGGTAGTGTGAATAGTGTGAAAATCTAAAGTGGTTACTTTTGAAACTTTAGTAATGGAAAGTGACACGGCATCAATTGAAACGGAACGGCTTTGGTTAGCCTTTGTTCCCACGCACTTTACGATTGTATGTTTTCGTTTCTGTCTGAATTATCATTTGTTTGTTGTGCGGAAGGAAGTACCGAATATGCTTCCTTTTGGGTATGGCTCCGGGTGGAAATTTGAACAGAATTTATGACGTTCGTCTGATTTTGATCTAAATATTTTAGATTGAAGAACAATATCTTTTCATTCCGATTTTTGGGTTTTTTTCCCGGTTTTTTTTTTTTTTTTTTCCAAAACGGAATTGAAATATGTGTAGGATTCCAATTTTCGATTCGATTATTATTTCCTAATATTTTTTAATATGCTGATATTATTCTTGTAAATTACACTTATAATATTAGTACTAACATATGTGTTATACTAGACGTGACTAAAAATTTGGAAATTTTGAATTCTGCCGATTTTGATTTACAATAGGTTTTTTCGTGATGATTTCCTTTTTTTTTTTTCGAAACGGAAGAAGAATTAGTTTTTCATTTAAATAAAATGATTTTTCTTTTTGGAAAGTGCTAATTCCGATATAATACGTCGATTTACACCCTGATGGGGGAAAATTTGCACCCTCAAGACCCTTTTTCGAACCCTACTCACTCGACCGTCGGAAAAGCTCACCTATCGCCAGACTTAGGGCCGGCGGAGCGAAGAAGACAACTGGACAATAATAAAGAGAGAGTATTTGAGAGAAAGTGTGAAGTGGTATTATTGATTCCATGTGGCAAGCTCTCAACCTGCCGGAGGGTATCATGCCGTCGTTCTTATAATAGTCGGACCTTTGTAGTCATTAAGCGAACTCTCAGCCCACTTCGACTCTTATGGCCCATTGGGCGAACTCTCAGCTCACTTCGACTCTTGCTATTGGTGTGGGCAAACTGTCAGCCTACTTTGACTCTTATGGCCATTAGTCTAGCTTTTAACTTAAGGTTCAGCCATGTGGCGAATTGACGACCTCCATCACGCCCCCTAGAGTTATAACTTAAGGTTTCGTAGTTTGCGTGGCCAAGTCAAGTGGTTTTAGTTGTTGCTCGTAATTTTTTGGTGAAATGGCCAAATTGAGAAGTGCGAATTAATGAATATCCTTCGCCTCGGCAACAAAGCGGCTCATAACCTAGCCAAACGGGCAAGGTTGAACAACTGGAGAGGCCTTGTTCCTTCATCTTGTATTCCTATTCATGTAATTTGTTTTGTATGATATGAGGATGCTCCAAGAACTGTTATTTGTAACATTTTCCCTTCTTTTAATGCTAATTGCAAATACCTCCCCTGTGTAATCTTTAATTGGCAAATTTCCCCCTGTTAAAAAAAAAAAAAAAAAAAAAACTCACCAACATTTTCTATCATGTCTATTTATTTGTGTAAATAAAATGTATACCCAACAAATCTCCATAGAAATTTTGAAGCACTGTAAGTCTGCAATCCCTAGTACTTAAAATTTCTTACACTTAACTCCGATCCCTTCCGCCTTGACATTACCAATAATGCCCCTACTTTACAATAAAAATACGAAAACGATATGATAGAAAAGTAATACAAACTCACTTTCGATGCACCTTCACTGGGCCACATATCCAGACCTTATAATGGTAGCGGAGAGCGGCTAAGTGACAGGAATTTTAAATAAGTAGGTAGTGTAGTGCAAGAAAATCCTTATGTGGGTTAATTAGTAAATCAATATATAGATTAGGGGTATCTATATGTGATTGTGAAAAAACAGGTAGAGTCTATGTAACACGGACACGGAGACAGCGATATGTGGAAACGGGACACGGGAAAACGGCATGTCCGAAAATTGGAAATACGCGAACTTGGGGAAACGTGTAAATATTAAAAGTATAAGGGGTATATTTTATAAATATGCTATATAAACATACATAAGATTTTATTTATATATAAATTATTTTTATATATTTCAATATAAATATATTTAAAATAAATACTATTATCGACTACCACTATATCATGTAAATACTTAGGAAAACAATAAAAATATTTGAAAATTTGCTATTTAAAAATGTTTTTAATTTTTTAGAAGTTGCAAAATAATCCATAAAAGGTCAGTCAGATGTACTCGAGTATCAGACACGAAACGTGTGCTAGCAGAACTTGCACTTATCAATTATTGTTGTTTGAAATTATAACATTATCAAAATGGTTTTAGCCAATTGATGTTGGCCTCTCTTTGGATGGGTAGAATTTCTTATTGTAATCTAATATTTAAATTATATTTGTCTGACCACTTTTGCTTTATATCTCATATTTTATTGACAAAGTGGGAATCGCCATCTGACCTTTTGCAATAATGAAAATTGTTGTGTGTATTTATTTAACTATATTCTACTAACTCTTAATTAATTAATGATTAAACAAAGCAAGAAATTAACACGTCAGGGCAACAATTAATTGTGATTAAACAAGTTGGTTTGGACTTTGGTGGAGACATTACTTACATCGCCGATGTCTCTATATCCACTAAATTCATTTTATTTATTTCACATGCAACAATTTAATAAATGCACACAAACAAAAATGGTCACGTGTTAATGCAGATATTGATTTTTTTAGCAAAGGATTGGAAAAATTAAAAAAGGTGGTCTAAAAATCATGAAAATAATTCATTTATCTAAATTAATTTTTTAAAAAAATATTCAAAATTTATTTATATTATAGTAGTCAATTTATTTGTATGTTTTGTGATCCAAAATGAATGGCCTCAATATATTGGTCAAATTAAAAGGCCCGGACAATTAACATAACTTGACCAAAATCCAAGAGAATAAAGAAAAGTGAAAATAGACCAGTGACTAAGTACTGTATTATAATAATAAGGGTAAATTACAAACACCCCCCTGCGGTATGACCAAATTACAAAAACACCCCTCTTGTTTGGATAATTACAACCACCCCCCTCAACTCATCAAATTTAGTGGAATCTTCGAGATTATATGGAATATTATCACTTTTGTACCCGTTTTATCCCATTCAAACTCTACATTATGAAGCAAGATGACCATAATATGTGATTTTTAGCTTGTATATATCAGTTTGTGGTGCATCGAAATCTGTATTTTTTACACAAAGAGTACAAACTAGAGCACATTTCACGGAATCTAGATGACTATGTTGAATTTGGCACCATAAAGGTAAGAAAAAATCATAGTTGAGGGGGTAGATGTAATTATCCAAACAAGAGGGGGGTTTTTGTAATTTAACCATACCTCAGGGGGGTGTTTGTAATTTACCCTAATAATAATAATAATAATAATAATAATAATAATAATAATAATAATAATAATAATAATAATAATAATAATATATTATTATTATTAATATTATTTAAAAAAAATGGCACAAATTGACATAAATAATTTGATGTTACAAGAGTGAAAGTCATTTCTGAGACGTAACAAAGACTTGAATGAAAGAGAAATTTTAATGCACCGTGTTTATATTATATGCGCATTAAAGCAAAGACTTTATTTTGTTGAAGTAAACAATTAATTCAATATTTTGAAAAGTATAAACGGGATTAGTTAATCCAGGGATTAATATTATAGAGCTAGCCGCATGCTATTCAAGACTTTGACATTTGACATTTACGTGATACATATAACTAGCTCATACTTATTTTCTCAATTCAACTTCCAAACCTAAGTTCTTTGTTCACTTCTAATGTCTGACACAATATAACTACTGTCGTCATAGTATGTAGGAAAAAATATTTCCTGATCGAGAAGTTTGCCCTTGTTTGAAGGGATCGATCGTAAAAAATATCCGAAATTCGATATTGGCTTATAATACACCACATTTCATTTAATTTATTCTTTGTTGAAATACTTGGGCACAAAGGAAACAGCCTCACATTTTCCGAAATTTCCAATAAATGATGTATGAATTATGATATATCCATTTAGTCCGATATCCTAGAGAGAGAGAGAGAGAGAGAGAGAGAGAGAGAGAAGAGTGCATTTCTTGTAGTCTATTAGGTTTGAATGAAATAGGGATGGATATGACTTCCACGCAAACAATAAATAAAAACAAGGAATAAAAATTAAAAATTAAAAAAGAAGAAAAGGAAAGAAAAAGATAGAAGAGTATAGAAGACTTAATAAACTCAAACGTGGTGTATCTTTAACCTAGCACTCTCCTTCTTACCCGCACACATTACATATATATATATTCCCCACCACAATCATGCATCCCAACAAAATCATTGCTCTCATTATTTTTTAAACGGTAAATTACAAGATATATGGCCAATTTACAAAAAAATCCCTCTTATTTGGATAATTATATCGACCCCTTCAACTATGATTTTTTCTTACACCTCCATCCTTATGATGTCAAATTCAACATAAACATCTAGATTTCATGGAATGTGCTCTAGTTTGTACTCGTTTTGTGTAAAAATACAGTTTCTGATGCACCATAATATGATATATACAAGCCAAAAAACACATATTATGATCATCTTGCTTCAAAATGTGGAGTTCGAATGTGATAAAACGGGTACAAAAGTGATAATATTCCATACAATCTCGAAAATTCCACTAAATTTGAAACCGCAAGGGTGGACGTGTAAGAATATTTATAGTTGAGGGAGGTGGTTGTAATTACCCAAACAAGAGGGGGGGTTTTGTAATTTGATCATACCTCAGGGGTGGTTGTAATTTACCCTTTTTTAAATAAATAATTTAAATAAAAAAATAAAAAATACAGAATTAGAAAGAAAAAATAATAATTAGCTATTACTAGAAATATAATTATTTTATTTAATATTTTAAAACAGTAAAACAATTAATTCTGAAATAAACAAAAGGGATTTCCACAATTAATGGGATTTAGAAGAAAAAAAATGTTATGTAGATTGTAGAGTGATTATCTATTTAGAAGAAAATAGGTTATTAGGGTGACGCTGTAGCACAAGCAATGAATGAAAAGCAAGCACGTGGTGGAATGTGAATGGTGACAGGTGGCAATGATAAGAGTTTCAACTTCCAACCACAAAAACTGGAATTGTCTGAATATGGATGCTGAGTCAGCAGTGAGTGAGTATTACTGGGAAATGGGGAATCTCCTGACTAGGCTGTTGTTCCACATCCCAATCCCTTTTTGCTCTTTTTCACGTGGCTGCTTCTTCTTCTCTTCTCTCTCTCTCTCCTGCCCTAATTAATCTCTGAATAATTAATTAATAGGCCAAATTACGAAAACCCCATAAACTTAGGCTAAATAACAAAAGCACCCCCAACTATTTGTAGTTATCAAAAATTCCCCCGAGGTTTGTTTCCGTCTTACACCAACCCCTTACAGTGTGACTTTTCACAGATAATTTTTTATTCCAGGGAATAGACTTTACGCAATTAATTTCAGATATTTAGTGATGTTCAGTGGTTCTCTTCCATAGAATACTTACCTATTCACAATCACCTCTCTCCCAAACCAAAGTGAACCGGCAACTATTGTTGATCATATCTTCCGAATGAGCATTTACAAACGCAGTTTTGCTTTTGTATGTGTGCGTGTGTCATTGTGTGTGTGATAGTTGATTCTTATTCGATGACGAATGCGACAGAGAAAGAAGAGACGATGGTGGTGCACCGAAGATATTGTTGAATCTGAAATGAAAAAAGAAGAAGTTAATGGGTTTGGGAGAAAAAGACGTGTAATTCCGTATGAAAAGTATAAAAAAACTTTTAACAAATTGGCAAAATTCAAATGTTATAATTTGAAATGATAATAGTGGTAAATTGTGTTTTGCAAGTTACCCCTACAAAATTTTGGCTTAGTTATTGGTCAACAGGTGAAACTAATTTTACCAAGTCTAGAGAATTTTCACCTACTTTTTTTAGGAAAAAAACTTATCTAATCTTGTCAAAAAAAGAATTAAACACGCAAGGCCCATTAATTTCGATGTCCCGGAAGAATAATTCTAATCATAATATACACGCACTTTCTTTCCCCATGAATAAAGTTTATTATATACAATTAAATTAACATCCCCTAGAAAGTGACTAGATTAAGGATAGTTCTTTATCTTCTAATCCAACCATCTCCCACCCCATTATTAATAACATTTAAAAAAACAAAAAACAAAAATAAAATAAATAATAAAATTTGTTTATCCAATTGTTTTCTCTCTCTACACAAAATATTTTGTTATATATATAACACCTTATTCCCCTCTTCATCTCTCTCCTCCTCCCATTTCCTTAGTTTTCCCTTTCATAATTGCCACCAAACTCTCTACAACAGTTCATCGTTTCTTACTTTCTCTCTCTAGATCTCTCTCTCTCACACACACATAAAAACACACAGTAACTCTCAACCGCAGAAAACACCTGTTGCTAGCTGTATATACTACACACAGACACACGCACAAACACACAGTGAGACGTTGAATTTAATTAGGGCTTAATGGAAATTGCAGAGATCAACATGATCGGCGATTTCGAGGCCGGAATGAAATGTTTGCAGAATCCATCGTTCATTTCTCGATTCGTTCCGTTATCCGGCGTGGAGAAGGTTCCCCGGGCTTACAGCTTCTGGAAATGGGGCGCGTTGATTTTCGCCATTTTCGCAGCGTTCAACAGCATAATCAGGAGGATCAAGCTTGTTTTCATCCATTTTCACGCCGTCAAATCTTCTTCTTCGAACCAATTGTACGATGAGGTTTTTGAGTTCAGCGAAGACGACGACTTCTCGCTGGCGGCGTCTTCCGACGACGACGACGACGACGGCGGCGACGATGATGATGAACGGGTGGATCGGGATGGAGAAAATAACCCCGCGACGACGTCGTTTCGAGGTCAACGCCGCGTTGGCGATGAGGATTTTGGCGTCAGGGGTTCGGGTTTTTGTTTGAGGCAGCGGAACGGCGGCGGCGCGTGGTCGGAATTTGCCTGCGGAAAAAACGTTGTGAAGCTTTGGGATAGTTTGGGGTTGAGTCTGGATTTTGACGAGGATTTATTCAACTACGATTCGGAGAGCGTGGTTTCGACCTGGGGTTTCGACGATCACGACGAAACGCCGAGCCGATTTTCCGGCGGTGGCTGGAATATTCCGGCGAGGGGAGAGGCGTCCGCCTCGATGGTCCTGACGGCGGAGGGTAACGGGAAGGGGGACGGCGTGATTTTTGGGGGATACGATACGAGAATGCGACGTTCTTTTCCGGCGTTGTTCGCTGAATGGAGCTCGGCGGCGGCGAAAGTTGCCGCCGTCGCCACCGGCGGCGTTGGCAAGGTTTACGTAAGGGATAACGCGAGCGGGACGCTAACGGTTGGCGATGTGAGAAACGTCAGGAAGCCGTTAGAAAGTGTGAGAGAGACTGACGGCGATACCTGGTGGGACGCTGACGCCGTTATTGTGGAGAATGAATCGGATGAGTCTAGGTAAACCGGTCCGAGTAATATGTTCCTGGGCCCGGTTTATTTTTTATTTTTTTATTCGGGGATGGAGAAAACTGAAAAGGGCAATGTGGTCCTAGAAAAAGAAATTGAGTGGAAGGACACTCTTGTCTGTAAATAATTATTTCAATAACATTTTCTCCATTATTTATTAGTTATCAATTAATTTAATTTAATTGTAGGTCTCTTATTTTTATTTATAAAAAAATATTTGAACGTCATGTTCAATAATCAATACACACTTATTATAGAAATAAAGTTGGACATTTACTTAGAAGTTTCACCTTTGTAATAATATAAGCAATTATGACTTATTTTCATCTTTGTGATAACTTAATCATAAATTTGGTTTTCTTGCTTAGCCTGTGTTTTTCTATGGAGTATTATTATTTTATTTTAATTTGTTTTTGTAACCTTAAAAATGTAGTTTATCTTTAAGGGTAAGGAAAGCAGATGTCGAGGTGGATTAGTTAGAATAATTGTGATTAAAGATGTCATTAAACTGCTAGTTGATTAATTATATAGAAGATTTGTAGAACTGGTCAAAAAAATTACTTGCTTGAAAACATAACACCAAAATGATCAAGTATTTAGAAGGTGATAATTAAAAAAAATAAATATTAAAAAGATGAAGAAAATGCAAATAAAATAATAAAATAATAATAAATAAAATGGGCATGGTCGTTGATTAGGTGATTAATTGAGATGTCCAATTTTGAGATTTTATCCCGTTCAAAATTATACATCTTTTGAGTTTTGACCATGTGCCAAGTCATACAAGAAATAATTGTGACGAATAAAGGGAAATTTGCTAAAAGTTTTTAGCAATAGTATATTAGCAATAACACAAAAAAAAAAAAAAAAAAAAAAAAAAAAAAAAAAAAAAAAAAAAAAACCCCCCGATAAAATATATTGCTAAATGTTCATATAATCAATCATTAGTCTTTTTTAGTTTTTTTCCTGACCACGACAACTCGTTTTAAGTGGACACACTGACTTAAAGTTCATATATTATATAGTTGGTTGTCCGATTAGAATAATTAATCAATAATGAACCACTATTTAATGTTGGAGACACACTTCAAATATTTAAAGAAAAAAATAATAATAATAATAATGGGCGACGATATTGAACTTATGAAATCCTACACTTGGTGAAATACACCATATAGTTTAAATAATAAATCTACATAAATAACTGTTCACTTAAGCACACATACACACGCGTGTGTCTTATTATGTGAAGATAAAATATATAAAATTATATAGTGTATTTCATCAGATTTAAGTTCTACAAAACTGGCGACATAGTGACAACGTTGGAGAGAAAGAATGAATTCGCGATTGGTTAGGTGTGAGTGTGACCCGCTAATTGCGCTTAATATTAACAATAATAGTGATTTAGGGAATATTTGATTTAGGTCTTTCATCTGATTGTACTAATTAAAATAATTTAAGCATTATTAAAGACCATTTCCAGTTTGTTTTTTTTTCTGTATTTTTTCTAGTCTTCTTCTAATTAATTTTCAAATAATTGCAATGTCCATAACTTAATCTACACTGAAGACAAACAAAATAAAACAAAATAGAGGAAAATGTGAAATTACAGTCAACAATTTGAGCATTCAATAAGGCCAGTTGTTTGCAGCTAAGTGGCCCAAGCCTGGGCAAATATTGAAATATTGCTGGCTAGTATCTGGCAATGTTTAACAAACGAAGGCTATTTAATAGGCTCATAAATTTAATTTAAAGAATTTTTTTTTTTTTTTTGATGATGTTTAACAAACGAATCCCCTTGTATAGAATATTGTTAAGGGCACTCCAATGGCTAGAATTTGCCCCTTCCCTATTTCGACTCCAATTATTCCGTCTTTTTTTTTTCTCCCATCTCACTTTAATAATTGGGGCAATTTGCTAAACATCTCTGGACACTAATATCCTTTCAAATCAGATCAGTCATATGTTTATATTTTACTAAAAGTCGCACGCACAACTCAGACAACGAACATACTTTGTTATCTTCTAGCTCATCCGTTTTCAGAACCATATTCATTCCTGACATTTCTTCCACACTCAGCTTCTCCCTACCAATCTCCGGCCACCGGCCGTCCAACATCATTGGAAAAATGTTATGTTCATCGGAGATGTCTATTTTCAGTGTAAATTCTTCAACTAAGTTGTTCATTTTAAGTCTGAACTGTCTATTTTCATTCTAAACTCGCCAACAATATCGTAAACTGTCTACTTTCAGTCTTAGCTGTCTAACTAAGCTGTCACGATGAACTTTTAGCAAATTCTCCTCCCCAATGAAAAAGTGGTGTTACAATTTATAGGTGATGATTTATGTCCCGTTTTACCGTTCGAATTTCATCATATCTGAAAATGTATTTCATCATGCAGTTTTTATATTGCTTAACTACAAATGAAAATCCAAATAAATACGCAGAAAAATGTTCCTATGACTCCTCGACCATCACTTCCAGCAGCGTTCCAAAGCCTCCAAAAAGGCTGATCGAAAAAATTAGAAAATAAACTAATTAATTTATCTCAAATTGCTGTTTGTTTGTGATCATCTTCCAACAGATTGAAGATTACGATACGTGTTCCTTGATCTTCCAAGAAATCGAACTACACAAAGATACAATAATTAAGTGTACAAAGTTATAAAAGTTATTAGCTACTCATAATACATAGTAATATATATTAAACTTAATTCCAAAAACTAGATAGTACCTGTCCTAGAAGCTCTTCTTCACAATTTGATATGGTGATCGAGTTGCCCGATGGTTTCGCGAGATTTCTTTGCCAGCATACGTGGCAAGATTTCAAACGCTTATTCCAACTTACTCCCATTTTCTAGTAATCAACCTAAACTGGTGTTTGCAAATGCTTTTCGAAAATGATTATGCAGTTTTTTTTGCTCATAATCAGTTTTTAGGTGTTTGCAAAATCAACTTTTGCTTTTATTTCTCTTAAAATAATCTGTTTTAAGCTATTTTTTTAAAAGCACCCATAACCCTGCCTTTTCAATTTTAGTTCATTTTCCGAAATATTTGCAAACACCCCCAACTTTTAGAAATAAACACTTAAAACTAACTTAAATCATAATCACTAACTTTTGCTTTTAAATAATCATTTGCAAACACCACCTAAGAACCAAACATTTACACTACATATACTGGGCCGACTTCGGTATTGGGCTACTCATTAAGTCTTGGCCCAATTCGCTTAAGAATATCATTTTGGCCCATATTTTTTTGTAGTAAACGTGTGAATTTTGATCAGTGGCGAAGCCAGGATTTTATTCATCGGTGGCCGAATATATATTAAAAATTACGAAAAGAAAATAAATGACCGATTATTGTTCCAAGAATGACTAAATTAGAATTTTGTTATAGAATTGTCCTTTTGGAGGTAAGAGGCAGCAGCCCCCGCAGGCAACCCCACCCAAAAAAAAAAGAATGACTTTTTTTTGTTAACAGAAACAAGAAGATTGAAAGAGAGAAACTTTCTGCATATTGGGTGATTAAATAATAAAAAATGGATGGACTTAATTATATATGTATAATTTAGTGGAACTCTTTTAGAATGAGGGTCGGCTTGAGTCCATCCCTGCCCAAGGGTGGGCTCGCCTTTGGTTCCAAGTGACAATCACATATCATATGTGATAGACTCATTTATTATCTTTCTTTATTTTCTTCAATTAAAAATATTTAATTTTATTTTTTATACAAAACTAAGTTATTGAACATTATAGGAACACAATACTAAGACAAAAAAAAAAATATATATATATATATATATATATATTAAAATTTGAGGGGGGAGCCATGGCCACCCATGGCCCTACACTGGCACCCACACTAATTTTGAATTTTTATTTTTTCGTTTTTGTTTTTTTCCCTACATATTAATTTAATCAGGTGTACAATGGAGCTACATATGTCATTGATTGTCCATTTGCTTGGGACGATCTTGACCACTCTCTAGATTCATTTAAACACCGAAATCGACTCAAAACTTAATCCATTTCGTAGACTCTACCGGTACCTTCTTTCCTTTTCCATGTCGTTTGAAGGGCATTAATTCGGAGACAACTCTACCGTAACTTCTGTAGCTATATATACAACACTACGAGAGAGAGAGAAACATAACACTGGTCATACATTATTTTTTTTATGTTTTCTTCTCCGATTTAGGGTGATTGGTATTGGGCAAGTGAAAACACTTGCGGGACAGATAGTTTGAGTATCAAACATTTCATGTGAAGAGGAATTGAGTCCAGTGAGTTAACTAGGTGTTTCGGGTATAAATATGATTTTTAGCTTTATAAGTTGTGTGCTAGACACCGCTTGAAGTTGTCGTCGTTGTGGGTTACTGGGCGAGGGGTTGGACAATAAGCGAAGTGAACCATTGCTGGAAAACACAGTTACATGTGTTGGAATAAAATTGGTGAAGTTTATCTTGTTTTATGTTTTCTTTCATGTCTATTTATTTGTGTACGAATCAAATGTATATCAAACAAAAATACACAAATGTTAATTTATCTAGCCAAATAAGAAAGAAGAAGTCAATTTATGCGTGCACGCAATGAGGTGAGAAGGAGGAGAAGGCCTCAAAAGAAATTCGAACAGTTATTTAATAGTAAACTCTCTTATTCTACCAATTAGATCAGACTAATGTGCATCTATTAAGAATTATGATTTATTATCATATGAAATTGGCCAAAGAGATAGTTGACCCATCATCTATATATATAAATATATATTACTATTGACTTTGAGATTGATATGTATAACAAGCCCCATGTGAACATATTTCATGTCCTAACTGGCGAATTCCAAGTTGGCATATAATCAAAACCCCTTTCCATTAATTGACCTACACTAAAAAAACATGTTCACCAACTATACGAATCCAAAGCATATATGTTCAATTAAATACCCACAAATAATTAGGCTAAATTACAAACACCCCTATGTATGGTCAATTTACAAAAAAAAATTCCTCTTGTTTGGATAATTACATCTACCCCTGAACTATGATTTTTTTCTTATACATCCACCCTTATGGTGTCAAATTCAACATAATCATCTAGATTTCGTGAAATGTGCTCTAGTTTGTACTCATTTTTTTTGTAAAAATACAGTTTATGATGCATCACAATCTGATATATACAAGCCGAAAAACACATATTATGATCATCTTGCTTCAAAATGTGGAGTTCGAATGGGATAAAACAGGTACAAAAGTGATAATATTTCATATAATCTCGAAGATTCCACTAAATTTGAGGAGTTCGGGGAGTAGTTGTAATTATCCAAACAAGAGAGGGGTTTTCGTAATTTGACCATACATCTGGGGTTGGTTGTAATTTACCCATAATTAAAATAATAATAGAAAGCGACGTAGGCGTTGACCTTGAATGAAAAGTCAAAATAGAATTTTATTAACAGCACAAAACTGCAGGAAGGACAGCCATCTTTCCTCCCTTTCGATTGCCAAATAATAAATCAAACATTCTTCTAAAACTCGATTCAATCAATCAATCTTAGAAAACAAATTTAACCTAAATTAAATAAAAATTCTATAAATAAATAAATAAATAAATTTAAAAAAAAAAAAAAAAAAAAAAAGCAACGCCACCCACCACCTCCAATGATCGGGTTATGAGAAATTATTCATCATCTCAATGAGTGAAGGCGAAATCTGATTGGCTGGCCTCGTCGAACAGAAAATATCATTCGAACTCTGCGTGAAAATCGGAGCATCGAAGTACGAGTTAGGGAATTTGTACATTGGCGGGCAATCCGTCGTCAGCATCGAGCACGACTCCGTCTCATCGTACCCGACAATACTAACATTCTCAACGGCGCCGCCGTCTTTTCCGTCGGAGGACACCGCCAATCCGGACTCCTCCGGCTCGGGTTTCACAGCGGCGGCGCCACCCTCCGCGCGTGACTTTCCCGTGAGTTTCTGCACCATAGCCATGAAGTCACGCGCCTGCGCGTGGATCACTTTCGGCGAGTGGGTGTATATGATCACCGGCTGCTGCCGCTTGGACGGAATTTTGTGGATGGCGTGAGAATCTTTGTTGATTCTTAACGGCGAGGGACGTGAGCCGTTAATCATCGTCGTCACTCCTTTCATCATCTGGTCACTGTCTTGATAATTCGAAGGGCTCATGGTTTTTTTTTTTTGTTACTAAAATTAGTATCGAAAAAATGTTTTCAGGGAAGGGAGGGTGTTTGCTTATATATAGGGAAGAATTTACCAAGAACAAAAATTAATAAACTAATAAATTGAAATAAAAATATAAATAAATAAATTAAAATCAATTTGTTTGGATTTGGTATGAGATTTCTGACCAAAATATTTTGTTTGGTTTAACCGCTCTTTTCTGGTTTTTTTTTAATTTATTTAATCATTTGTTTTCTTAACGGCTGCTCTAAAAATCATGTATGAGTAACACGTAATTGACTGTATATTTAAAATCGGTGTGATTTAATTATATTAGTTTTTGCATTTCTTTTTTTAAATAAATTAAGCTAATTAATTCCAAACACTTTAATTGAATATTATGGATTAATTACTATGTTATAATTTGGGGGTCAGAGGTCATAATCCAACTTTGTCACTTTACCATAATTTGACATTTGTCTCTCATTTAGTGAAGGTCAATATCAACAAAATTTCCAGGCAGCTTCTAAATTAGTAGGATTAATATTTAAATGTATTTAGTCGCAAAAGTGGTCCAGTTCGTGGAGTACAAAAGAAATGGTTGCGATAGCGGTTGCCAGTAATTTTTAGATCGAGCTCGTCGCATATAATTTGTTCAATAAAATGTAAACATCTTATGAGATTTATGTGATTTAGTATGTTATATATGAATTTCTAGATGATTATATTCTTATTCAAATATTTGGCGCAAGTTTGCCAATATAATTTTAAATAAGAACTATTTTATGTCATCCTTGGTTCAATATCTAACCAACTTGTATTGGGTCGAAAATCATTACCATACACTCCCCTCCGTTCCGCAATATGGTCTCTTTTTGATAATTTCTTTAATTTCAATGTTGCATCAATTGCATATTTTTTTAATTATATCATTATTAATTATTCAACATGTTTTCTGCATTAATTAGTAAACAAGGGTATCTTGATTTATCAATATCTAATTTCTTAAAATCAAGACATAATTTATAAAGATTTTTAAGACTTTGTACCAACGTGAAAAGTGACACATTTTTTTGAAAATTAAGCGAGTACATGTTTCATATGTTTATAAAGGGTCAAAATTTTTACTCAAAAAAATAAAAATAAATAAAGGGTCAAAATTATTGACTTTAAGGTGTCGGTTAAGAAAGTTAAACCGATGTTGAAAATGGGCCCAAAAATTTGGACTATGATATATTTTAGGGAGGTGATATTCGCGGTAGCAAAATTACGAATGTCGTTTTAAAAAATCCACTCTCTATCTTTCTTTCTCTCTCTACAATTTTAGCTTTTATATTAGAAATCATTCCAAAACTCATGTTATTGTAGCCATTTGCAAAAAAAAATGAGTGCATCGAATGAGGATCGAGATACGGAATCCAATGAGGTAAAATTTGTTCGTTTTTGTTCTTTAAATCGCGAAAACGCGACCCACGACCAATTTGGACGCCGAAAAATACGTTTCACGCCCAAACTGGGCGCAAAAAAGCTCGATTCACGCCCGGTTTGGGCGCGGAAAAGCACTTCCCGCGCCCGGTTTGGTCGCGCGACACAGCTTTCCGCGCCCGGTTTGGGTGCGAGTGCTGACTGTGTTTTAATAAAAAAAAAAAAAATTGTGCTGCAACAAGTAATCGAACCCGGGTTGTTGCAATGGAAATGCCTGCTTGCCTAACCAAGTAGGCTACGGCAATTTTGATAAAAAAATCATATTTAAATATATACTGGGCAAAAAAATAATTAATATGCGTTACTATTAAGACTCGAACACGGGCCTATTGTTTGTTAGACAAAAGGCCTAACCAACTAGGCTACAGCATGTTTGTAAATTAATACTTATTTAAATATAATTATTTATTTCATTTATACTGGGCAAAAAAAAAAAAAATTGAACCGGACGACCGGTCCAGAACCAACGTCTGGACCGGACGCCCGAATTAATTTTCCACGCCCAAAATGGGCGTGAGAAAGCTGTTTCCACGCCTAAATCAGGCGTGGAAACTGCTTTCCCACACCCATTTTGGGCGTGGAAAATTCGAAAACCCAACATTAAAAATAGCCATAAATCACGATTTTGAGGGGATTTTCACATGATTAACCACAAATTCAATATATATAACTATTTTAGATGATTAATTACCTTTCAAATTGACGAAATTTTCTGATTTTAGAGGATTTGTGAGAGAGGTTGAGGGTTTTTGTGAATTTTGGGGCTTTTGGGGATTTTGGGGTTAGGGTGGAATTGAGGATTTTTAGAGAGAGAAAGAAAAGATTATTGTGAACGACATTCGTAATTTTGCTGCCGCGTAAATCATTTCAGTATATTTTATGATTAATATATAATAATAGGAAAAAAGGGGAAATGTCAATTTTTTTTTTTTTTTTTTTTCATTTAGCTAGAATTTAAGAAATTGTTTTTTTTTTATTTAAATAAGAAACATGGAGGAATCTCGAAAATAAGTTCCAAGACAAAAGTCTAACTGATTATAGATTTAATTGATTGAGACTTCTTTGTCCTTTTTAAAATTGGAGCTTAAGATAAGTTGACCAAATGAACGATGATGATTTTGCAATCATGGTTTTGTATCAATCTATAAAAAAATTGGATAACCTTGATATTTGATCTGATATCCATGTCAATTCATTGAACAGTGAAGCTTGCTAATTATCGTCTCATATTTACGAGTATCGTTCTCAATAATTCGCTCTCTACTTTTCTTTTATCTCTTTAAAAAAGAAATCTCAAACTTTTATTTTTCGATAGGCGAAAATAATTCTTTCCACTGTAAAAAATCAAAGAATCGTAACTGAGAATTGTTTTAGAACGGGCTACAATATTAATGTGTAACCCAACACCGTGGCCCAAGCCATACTACGGCTGATAATGACGACCAGGGGTACAAGTCGGAACAAAATTCCCAAATTTTGCTTATGTCGACCCAAAAATTTTCAATTTTGGAATAAGTAGCTTCATTCGGATATCCTTTGATATTTAAGTTTTTACAAAATTTTGAAAATTAAAATTACATATAATATTTTGGAAATTCTGATTTCGGATCCAATTTTAATATCGAAAATAATCCGATTTTATTCTGAAATATTTGGTTAAATAATTATTTAATATTCTCTATACAACAATATTTTACTTATTGTATGTTTTAATAAATGGGACTAGTTTTTTTAATATTGACTATTGATTTAACTCATTAAACAAAGACATACGATTTAATTTATTTTTTTCTGAAATTTCTAATGGCATTCCAAATATTTCCAATTTAATTTCGCAATTTTTTTTCAATTGTGATTCTTTTTTATGGATTTTTTTATTTCATAGAATTTTATAAGTATAAGGAAGAGATCGCGAACACGTAGACTCTTGTTGATTTATATGTCTTTGTGAGTCTATCTTTTTGCATGCATCGAAGCCCTCATCTTATAGACACGAGCTAAGTTTCTTGACTTTGGCATGTGCCGAACATTTGTAAAGCCTAAGCACTTAGATAGTAAAAACACGTTATGGACCTTAATTTGTGGCCCATATTAATAATCGATTTATTTTGTTATTGTGACGCCCGCTATCGAAATACACAATACTTTTTTTTTTTTTTTTCAATAAATAAATACAATGACTTCTAACGAGTCACTATTACAACTTAATCTCATACCAATAAAATCACATCGTAAATCAAATACACGTGACAAACAAATCCCACAAATAATCTCGCATACACAACTCTTGAATAACAATCATTACTCAACGCGGAGAGAGACCGGCTATGGGAACCGAAAGGCGCTAGATGGACTAACGGCAAGCGAGAATACAACTAGATTAAACTCTATAAAACTTCCAAGTAACTTTACTCCTTAGTGCAGTCAACACAATTGTCCTCTTATAGCACCTGCCACTGCGAATAAGACGGAAAATTAAAGAGAAGTAAGTCAAGTGGACTTTAGTGAGGATTATAAGTGAAAAAACAGTGTAATCCAGTAATAATCAGAACAATAAACAATAAAAATATTCAACTTGGAACTGGACCATCTAGAGAAGAATCGTTCTATTAAAAACAAGCCAAAATGTTAGGGACAACAATCTGATCAGGTCGAACAATATAATCAACTATGTACAAATAAAGAACAATATTCAACTAGTAATTCTTGAATATCAATTATAAATTTGATGGAGATTCTCACGACAATAATTTTGAATATCAAATAAGAATTCCATGGAGATTCTCATGGTAATGATATTGTTCATGCACTTGTATATCTGCCTTATGACTCCCTTAGCCGTTACTATCTTATAACACCGACCATGCAATGACCCTGTTAATCAATCAATAGGCATGCCCGGACGCATGCCGATTCATCCATCAACACAATTAATCTCCAATTATGCTAATGACCCGACTCCAATATGAGTACTGCCGAAGAGACCATCCACCATCGGCTCAATACCGCGCAACAGTCTTTTTTGAACAGCCTAGGGCTCAACTGGTCAATTATCCTTAAGACGTTCCAAAAAAATACTTCCAACTATCTCAATTTACAGTTTGAATCCTAATGATGAATTCTACTTTGGAAAGAATCTATATCACATTTCAACAATTGTAGGATTCCAATAAGTTACAACATTTTGTGATCACGATAATTAGTATTTACCCCACTTTGAAACTTAGTCAAAGCCATGCAACCCCGACCCTAACCCCTGATCGTGCACTACATTGACCAATTTTGCAATCGGGGAGGCATTTTTTGGCATGAAAAGACATAAACATCATTTAAACCATAAATTTCGAAATTACAGATTCACCCAGAATTTGTGAGATCCAAAATAAAAAATTTAAATTTGCAGTTCAATCCCTGATTTTTCAAGAAAACTCTCTTCAATTTGAAACCCAAAAATTGCAGGGAATACACTAATACACACAATTCCACTTTACACGCACATCACCCCACCATTGTCGTTGCTACTACCACCTTCATGTAGGAGTGTAAATGAGCCGAGCCAGCTCGAGAGGTCAATGAGTCAGCTCCATTTGAGCTTGGACCTGGAAAATGAAAGTTCGATAAACTTGAGCTCGAGCTCGCAAAATTTGACACGAGCTTGAGCTTGAGCCTGAAAATTCTGGCGGGCTCGGCTCATTCACCCTACCTTCATACCATCTAAAAGTTTTCAAACCCATTCGTGATTGAACCCATCACCGTCCTCAAATTCCAAATTCATCGATCCCCAACCACTCTTCCCCTCCGTTGAAACCTTCGCCACGTCGCCGCCGCTCCAAACCAATCTAGGGCCAAGGCTTCAAGTTCCTCGGTTGCGCCAACGACGACATCGGGGTTGTCTGCCGCCATTGGATTCGTTAGATGTTGACGTATGGCTCTGATGCCATGACAAAATCTCGAGAAAAGCTTATGAATTTCTCTGTATCCTCCGTTGGGATAGTGGATGGGTTGAGGAAGAAGATCGATGAGCTTGTAACCCCTCTATCCTTTTTTTTCCCTTTCCTTTTTACACGAACTAATCTCTTTACTTCTATAATTTTATTATGGATTAGTCATTTCATCTAAGTCAACATCCAAATTTGAAATAAAACCAATTTTTCTTACATAAGAATTTTTTTTTCGTCAATTAGATATTTCAAAGGGGTATGTCTATATGCGATGTCCTAATTAATACATATACATATATTAGGATCACCTTTTTAGTCCACCTTTAATACATAAACTGGCATGCCAACTGCCCATATTTAACGCAAGTATATGAGCTGGAGAGCTCATCTGATAATGAAAAATTGAATCCTAAACCACCCTATGATTGGGACTCCGATTCATAATAAATCCTCATTTTCTGTTCTCTGGCGGTCAATCATAGGTTTCCTGGATTTTCTGTGTCCGATTGGAATTCTGAAATAATAAAAGCTCTATTTATCCTAAGAGTCAGGTCCTCACTTTACAAAGGAAAAACTTAATTACAAGGAAATTTTCCCACATATTGTTCTTCTTCTCATTTTTTGGTTTTTTTTTTTTTTTTCTTCTTATAAATTCCATCTACAATTCTAAGGTATGCTAAAATAACTTTAAGGTCCACCAACAATCAATTTCAGCTACTGTGTGAAAAATAATATAAAATATATCAAAAATTACTTTAATATCTATATATATATTTATATAGATAAAATATTTATTTTTTGGGGGCCCCCCTTGGGATGGGGGGCCCAAAGCACCTGCTTGTGTGGCATACCCTCAGGGCCGGCACTGATGTCACTCTATCTACTCTATGTTGTCTTCGCCACTACCTGAAACTAATACTCCGTTTAGAATCCTAACGAAATAATTTATCCAGTGCATTATTATGTTCGGGTTTCTAACAATGATTCATAATTGGTTGATTGTAATTACCAATACTACAGGGACCTTAAAGTTATTTTAGCATACCTCGAGGGTGTAGTCTTAACTCCTTTTCTCTCTTATAATCAAATATATATCTATCAACTGAGTCCGTTTTAACTTTGAACATGAAAATCGAGAATTTCAGCATATATATTAATTAATTAATAATTGTGAGAAAAATGGCAGAATGTCCTTCTGGCAATGTATATATACGTTCCTTAGTAGCTAGTTATTTTTTGATGTGACAAAGAGGAGATGAAAACTTTGCTTCATTAAAGCATGTAAATAAACCACCTTCAAAACTGCAGCGTTTCAGAGCAGAAGAAAACATTGGAAAATAATATTTTTTTAGGATCAGGACCACTTCGCTTTATTTGCTGTCTCTCTATTCATTATTGTCATTAATTAATTATAAATTGCAAAAAAAAAAAAAAAAAAAAAAAAAAAATTGCTTGAATGAAATTCAAATTAGTGGTTGTTTGTTTTTTTCCCCAGAAAAGTCGGAGGCAAATTAAATGAGTGCAACAGAATTTCATTAAATTATGGTTTGCATTTAGCCAAAATGTGCATGCATGCATGTAGCTAAAATGTGAGGCATTTGATATGTTTTTTTGAACGGCAAATCACACATATTGTATTTTACTATTTCATCTTCAATTCTGTTTTATTTTCTCATGTTATTGACGTGTACTAAATGATGATGTCACTAATGTTGTGTACAATAGTTGTTCAATAATGAATGAAATATGGAGTACATAATATTCCTTGACTTGACCACGCTCTGGTTCAGAACCGGAACCGAAACCGGGTTAAAAGGTTGGGTTCAGGTTCATAAAATTGAAATAGGGATGAAATTGACGTATTTTAAAGATGAAGGACTAAAGTGGGACATGATGTATAGTTGAGGGACTATAAACACATTTGACCAAAATTTAAATTTAAATGAGACAACAAAATGCTCATAATGACCAAAAGTGAATCCATCCTCAAAACAATTAACTTTAGTCAATGGCATATATAATGTTAGATTTTGAATATTTATGACATAATTCGAAGGATTGAGTACGGATGAGTGTGGATATTCCCAAATTTATTTCTAATTCATCATTCATATAATGTAGTCGATGAGATGCTGCCACATCCAATGTATTAATGAAATACACCTGATGGTTTTAAATTAATTTATATAAATAATTACTCACTAAGCATACATATAGATTGGTGTGCGTGTTATTATGTGTCTATTGTTTAAAATTATACGGTGTATTTTAGCGGGTATAACATCAACAAAACCGATATAATTTAATGTTCAGAATATTCAATGCGTAACATTTTGTACCCGTGGAGTATAACATATGTAACACTTACTTTCTTAAAGTATCATTTGTAACACTTACCCATCAACATTAATTATTTTATATTTATAATTTAAAACATATTAAACATAAAAATCTAATAATTATTAGATCATAAACAATTGAAAAGTAACTAAAATTAAATTATTAGAAAAAAAATTAAAAAGTAATGTATATTGTATGATAATGAATGAAAGTATATTTTAAGAAATTAATAAACTAAAATATATTTAAATACTTAAAATTACTATTAGTTATGTATTGATTTCGTAAAATTTATTGATATGAATATATTTAATTAATTGGCCCAACAACAATTAGATGTCATTTATTAAATATGTACCCGGCGCAATATAATATTTTTAAACTTTTAAATATTGCATTTTTCAACATATATTTTTAGTTGATAATATAATTAATTGTTTTAGTGATTTCTTTCAATAAAAGAAGAAAATTTTAAGGTAGAATTTAAAATACAAATTAAATTGTGCTTGAAGGGTAAGCGTTACATACGATAGGTGTATTTAACCCTATTTAAAAATATAGATTTACTTTTAATTTTTAGGGCTAAATACAGTTTGCACCCTTAAAGTATAGGGTTGGTACGATTGCCCCCTTAAAGTTACAAATGTAACACTTACCCCCCTCATTAACGAATTTACTAGTAAAACTATGACTTTACTGATGTGAAATTTTTTCTTCTCAAAATGTCCTTCTAGCCAGTATATAAATAATGAATATGTAATAATAAAAAAACGGCAACTTGATTTTATTATTTCAGTATTGTAAATTTACGAATGAAAAACATTGAATATTAATTTCATTTTTATTTTACTTTATGTTCATTTGTAGCTAATACAAAGTTAACAATTATTCGAATTTTAATTATGATTTTTTAGTTTATATAGTTATTTTAATGAGTATATGACTCTTATATAATCATACCACTTTTTATATATGCATCAATATAATAGTTAGAAGGATAATTTGGGAAGAAAAAATGTCACATCAATCAAAATTAAATATTTACCATTAAATTTATTAATGAGGGGATAAGTGTTACATTTGTAACTTTAAAGGGGTAAGTGTTACCAACTATATACTTTAAGGGGGCAAACTGTATTTAGCCCTTATTTTTATTTAAAAAAAAAAAGAAAAAAAAAGTTGATTTTTCATTACCAAAATTCCAGTTTTACTTGAAATGATGTCATATGGGCCAGATAATCTTTACAGTAACTCGCATGAAAAAGGCAAACCTTGGACCATAGTATCAAAAGTTCATATATAAATAAAATCGAAAATACCAAGATATCAGGAAAAGAAAAAAAGAGAAAAAAAATCTTATTAATAAAAGACAAGTGAACAACTTCATAAAACAGGACAAAATTATCATATATATATATATATGCATTTCCCTCCAAACTCCAATATTTTATTATTAAATTCTGCTCCAAAACACTGAGAAATGTCTAATAAAATAGATAAATAAAAAAATAAAAGAGAAATAAGTTTACTACAATGTACACATGGATCCAAAACAATTGCCATATTTTCATAACAAACAAGAGAGAGAAAGAGTAGAGAGAGAGAGATAGAATGGTGATTGTTAGAGGGAAAAGAAGAGCTGGAAATAGCTGGATAATTTAAACCTACTCCATCAAGAACTCCTTCACAATCTTCACGCTTGGTTCCACCACCTCTCTTTCCCATATATCCGCCGCCCCCCCGCCCCCCTCCGCCGCCGCTCTAATCGCCGCCGTCGCCTCCACCCTCTTCAGCTCCCATCCCGCCGCGTCCCTCAACCGTAAGATCTTCCCCACTTGCCTCTCCGCCAGCTGACACGTGTTCTCCTTGATGGCCCCCACCGCCTCCTCCACGTCACCCATCCCCCATTTGAAGTACCTCTCGAACTCGGGCACCCCGATCGCCCTCTTCAGCCCGCGTTGACTCACTGAGTCCGACCGTTGATTTTTAAAATACTCGGCCAACTCGTCGGCCATCCCTGAGTCGAGCATGTGGTCGACTCGTTTGGCTAAATGCCGGTTCAGCACCGGTAAGGAAACGTCGATCCAGATAAAGCAGCAGCTGTAGCGAAGCTCCCTGCAGAAGGCCGAGTCCGGTGACTCGGCGGCGAACACGTCCGATTCCGGGTTGAATCTCTCGGCCAGTAACGCGTAGACGAACGAGTTCGAGCCGCCGACGACGAACGGCGTCCGGCGGCGGGAGAGAATATGGGCGACGGCGGAGGAGGCGGATGCCCGGAAGTCGGAGGGGGTGAACTCCGGGTGGGAATCCGACGGGTCGAAGTCGCCGAGGAGGTGGTGGCGGACGTTTCTCCGGTCGGCGAACGGGATTTTGTTGGTGGTAATGTCGAGGCCGCGGTAGACTTGGATTTTGTCGGAGTTGATGATCTCCGACGATGGGAAGAATCTAGAGGCCAAGTCGACGGCGAGTTTGGTCTTTCCACATCCCGTTGCGCCCATAATTACGACTATTTTCTTCTTGCGGCGGAGGACGGCGGCGGCGCGAGTGTACATGTGGATTCGCCTGGCGGAAGAAGGTGTTTTTGTAAAGCAGACGGCGGCGTAGTTTATGCATGGAAAGCGATCATTGCTTTTTCTAAAGATTGATACTAATTTCCTCATAACCATCAGTACAAAAAATGCCCACACAGAGAGAGATATGGGTGTGTGTGTGTATATATATATATATATGTCTGCGTATTTGTGTGTGTGTGTGTGTCTATATATATATTATATATGTGTGTACTTTGTTGGTACACTGAATCAAAAGTTGGTGTATATACATACAGTTGTGTGTGTGTGTGAAATTCCAACAGTTGCCATATTTTTTACTTTTTTACTTTTAGTAGGAAATAAATAATATATAGAATATTTATCGCTGTTAATGGCATTTGTACGGCCGTAATTATTTTAACCTGATGAACGATGATTCAAATCTACATCAAAAAATAAAATCTTATTTTTTTCATTTATTTATTATATTCAAAGAATTCCAACAGTTGATCGTTTATTCAGAGCACATGTCGTTTTGCAATATATATATATATATATATATATATATATATATATATATATATATGGAAATGAATGGTGGTGTAGAATTCGAACATACGACATTTTTCATCTTTCATCAGGATCAGTATAATGTCATATTGAATGACCACCTCATCTGAAATGATATTTTTTTTTTAAAATGAATACTTAAAATGGTATTTAATTAATCGGGTAAGAATCAGAAAAGAAAATAAAATTTTAAAATATAAAATCGTTTATCGAAATATCCTTCAATTTTTTGTTACCAAAGAATCAATACAATAAATATGCAGAATGTCCTCTTTAAGCTAAGCTTGTTCGCGATCAACGTCGCCACATGTTACACATGGATTAACGAGGTCTATATGTACAAATCGTAAACAAAAAAGGAATTATCTAGTGTCCGAGATCTAAACGATTGAATTCGTGCCTAGAAAATAATTAGTGAATAATTATATTCATTGATTTTAAGTACCACCTAGTACGATATTAATAATTTACAGATTACGGTACGAAATTAGTAAGAATTTACAGATTACAATAAGAAACTAGTAAAAATTGATCGTACTCGAATCGTACTGTTTATAATTTACTATATTAACATTCTCTAACCAACTCAATAAATTAAATTGAATAATTAATTTAATTTAAACGTAAGGGGGAAAAAAAAAAAAACCGAAAGTCCTAAAAGCTTCTCCCAAAAATCAACGAGTCATCATTAATTCCCAAATCGGACCATGTCTTCACCAATCATACATACATATTACTGATGTACATTTAAAATAGGAGGACTACATTACTTTGGTATATAGATTAAAAAAATGAGCTAATATAAATTCCCTAATTACCTA